TTTGGACACAGCCTAAGTGTGTTAATCTAAATTTATAAATTTAAATGTAAACATCAGATTTAAATGTAGCTAAATGATAAAACTTACATTTATGAATGTTTTGATGTCATCATCTTATAAATAACTATAAGGTCTGGTTTATAGCTGATGCGTCGCACCAGGTGTGAGGGTGCGTGCGCTAAAAGTGACACAATTGCACCGTCCCCACCCCTGCGTGTTGGCCCCTCGTGGTGTCCCGGCTCATGGTCGTGCACCTCCAAAATTTTGTAACTCTGCAAAGGCTGCACGTGCCGCGCACCATTCAAACAGTTTGTTTGTTCGTCAGGCTTTTGCTCTCCTACTTACAACATTTCACAGGTTATGAAATTTACTTCCACGTGTCCTTTTGGAGAAATACAACAACGTAAGCTCCAAGTATAAACACTCCCAACACTGTTCAGGTTGCACACGCAACAACTCTAACACTACTAATGCTGCTGAAGATAGCATTTAAAATTTACTTTCAAAATATATTCCCTGAAAACGATATGGATGGTGTTCGATGGTATGGATGGTAACTGATGTCTTCTAGGGAAATGTTAAGTGTGTTAGCAGTGTTTGCCTCGTTAGCTTAGGCGTAGGATGATGACATAATAAAAGCCACCAGCAAAGGCTGAGTGCCATTCTGAAATACTTAAATCTAAACTTCAACATTTATATTAGATTTACACATTTCGATTTAGGATTTTATGCAACATTTAACATTCAAATTTAACATTTAGTAAAAATGAGCAAAATGCAAGAACAGTGAGCTATAGTATGAAAATGTGTTAGTGACATTTCTTAACATTTTATTTTACACCTGACACCCCATATTTGATGTGAGGAATGAAGAAATGAGGAAAGAGAAACTTAGACACCATATGGTCTCCTTCTTTTAAGAAGAGGAACATTTCTCCCTTTTTATCTCTTCCCACCCAGATGAATAATAACAATATAATTCCCCAGGTCTTGGATTGCTTATCTCTTCATGCTTTACGTTTGTCCTATATTTTGCGTGTTAAAACGATGACAAATTTTTAAATTTTTTTTTGATTCATTTTTGTACAAGTTTGAGCTACAGCAACCAGTTTGAGTTTGGTTCTTGAACTTTGAGCTCTGCTGACAGCTTAAGTGGACATTTTGGGCATGCTAACCAACAGTCTAACCTTTGGGGACAAGAGACTGACTTAATGTCTCCTACGAGCAGCTGTGATTTTTGACATCAAGCTGTGTTCGCAAGTGCTGCACTTGATAAGATTTCAAACTGTGCACTTGTCAGGGACAAAACTCAGCGCTGAAGGATCTGGGCCTTGGTCAATGATTGTATTAAATTGTGGAAAAAAATAGTCTTGCTGTCAGGGGATGTGTTTTTCAGCATGTGATTGTCGTTTTTTCTGAATATTGTTAACTTTATTCCTTTTTTKCTTATTTTCTGTGTCCTCTGTGTTTCCTGTGCCATCCGTTCATTTTCCCTCTCCTTTTCCTCATTTCAGCTCGCGTTCCTGCCACACCAATGATATAGTCCCTCAGTTTGTCCTCACTCATGTCTGCTTTTACCTCATTTAAAATATCAATTCACATGTACATTTTTTATTGAGCTGTTTAGAATATTTATCAGTTTGCAATTATCTTTTTCATTTAATACTGCTTAAAAATACTGTGATTAAGTGATTTTTGAAAGAASAGCAACTGCCTATACTGTAGGTTTTATTTAGTTACAGGCCTTGCAGTTTTTTTTTTCTTTGTCTCCATATTTTCTACTCCTTGGAGTAGGGAGGAGTGAACTCCTGTCAGGTATTTGCTCTGCAGAATGTGAGTCCTGTGAACAGTGTCTTTGGCTTTCCAGTTCCTTCTTTCAGCTGGTGATGACTTCAGACACTCTCAGGGTACCGTGCTAAACCTTGGGCTCACAGAGAATTTTTATATTTATTTCTRACACTATGTAAATTTCATAAACTTCTGTAAATTTTGTAAGTGGTGTGAGGGTGACACATGCAGAATAAATTGTGCCGGCTTGGATAGAGGAGGTGGGAAGCAATTTTTCAGATTCAGCAGCTGCTGTTCTGTGMTTTTTMTTTTTTTTTCCAATCTTCAGTCCAGGTCAGTTTGTGACTCAACGAATTCCCACGAGGAGTTTTTGGACATGGTTGTTTGATTTACATAGCTAGAAACCCCACTAAAATAAATAGCACGCATCCCATCACAGAGCCAGTTGTTCTGATGTAACATTTGTAGGGGTGCATGTCGTTGTTTGGGCCGCCTTAATGCACCATGAATAAAAACATATAAAGATAGAAAATATAAAGCATAGAGTTCCTTTTTTTGAGGTGGATAATAATAGGTTCCTTTGAAAAGGCAAGCTGTGATGAGTAAATTTGAAATCCCCATAATAAAATTTGTTGGTTCTTTAACTCCATTTGTGTGAATGTCATGACCTTTTATTAAACTGAAAATAGAAAAGTGACAAGAATAAACTGACATCAACTTCTAATAAAAATATAATGTTTCTTTATCTCCATAAAATGTTATACTTTGGATAAACAAGTGTAATTTATCCATTTATTTATAAAAGGTGGCTTTAAAACCACACAGACTGGATGAATCACATTTAACACAAAGTGATGTTTTCAGGCAGGAGGTACTGGCACACCTTGGATTAAATTGAGTTTATTTGGGCAGGAGAGCAAAAACATCTTGTTTATAATTAAATCCAGAGTGGAAGATGATTTTAAAGCTGCTTATCCTTAAATACYTCCAATTACAGCAAAGCAAATGCAAACATCCAAATGTCTTTTTCTATCAAAACCATAGTCAGTTCACCTAAAACAACAACCAAGCACAGCCATACACAAACAGTAATGAAACATGACGGCAAAACACTAAATAAACATCTTCTTTTAAGCATAATGAGCTCAGAGCACTGAAATACCCCCTGTTGTGAGAGGAAATCTATTCAAAGGGACACCTTTGGTGGAGCAGAAGAATTTAAAAGCAACTAAAGTCCTGCAATATGGATCATATCCTCCGAGGAATGATTTCATGCCTGCACCTTGTGCCACATGTGCCACAAAACATCTGGCTCACACCGATCAGAGCCACACACACACGCACAGACACAATCTGAGCCCCTGAGATGAATTTAAAGAGCTTCAAGTCCTCAAGCCAGCGTCAGAAAGCTGTGGGTTTGAATAACCAACAAAAATGATCAAACTTGTGTTCATATAAGCTGTCCCTAATAAATATTGTTTTGTTTTTAAGAGAAATAGCTGTGCATGTGTGTTTTAACATGAGAAGAACATGAACAAAATTTTCAAATAATCCACTTTTGATTATTTTAGAATTTACTTTGGAAATTGATGAATTATATTATATGTTTTTTTTTTTTTTTTTTATATTATATGTTTTTTTTTTTTGTAATGTGTTACAATATTTCAAGAAGGATGATGTATCAGAACGTTGAGAAAAATGATTTTGGATTTGTGTAAGAACCCAAACGTGTCTGAAAGAAAATGTTAAAATCTTTATAATGGATGAAAATAATAATAATTAGCATRCCTGTTTTATCTGAGAGAATCTGAATTTCCATTTAGCCTGCTTTATGCATTTTGAAGGAGAGTTTTTTTTTTCAGAAAACTGTTTTCTCATAAGATCTTCAGCGTGTCAAGTTTGTCCTTGCTGTTTTTTTAGCAAAATAATAAAAAATAAAAATAAAAATAAACCTTCAAGAGAAATGTAAAGTACTCACAGTTTGGGTCAAACACAGAGTGAGAAACATCCCTCTGAAGTAGAGACAGGACATGATGCTTCCAGCTCCTCCTCCTCCTCCTCCTCAAGTCCAAACCAGTTTCTTTCCACAGACCCAGAGCTGGGATGCTGCGCTCCCTCCAGCAGGAGATGCTGCTCTCATCAAACGTGCAGCGACACAAAAACAGCATTTCCAGGACTTGCCTTCACAATAAAAGCCCAACATTTAGCCYTGGGATGTTTGAGGATAAATAACTTTTGTCACGCCCAACAGTCATTTAGTATACTATGAGCAACAATAACCTGGAATTGTTTCAAAGTAAATGCTGATGTTTTGGCCCACCAAGACGCATTATTGGGTTTTATTTTGAAAGGAAATGACATGAACTCAGAGATGATGTGTAACTCCATTTCTGAGCCATGCTGTGTCGCCAAACACATTAAATATGACTTTAATAATCAAAAATGTTACTGACACCAATAGGTTCTGAGTAATTATTKATCRATTCACCCAATTTCGTTTAATGGTTTTATGAAAAGGCATCAAAACATTCATAGAACAACAATCATACATACATACACTTAGCACAAAGAAATTTATGTTTAGTAAATTATTTCTTTGTTGTAACAATGTTTCTTGGCAACAAATCGGTTAAAAAAGCCATTTAACCCCCCTTTTAAATAGTACCACATTTGTAAGGAACATGCATTTGTGGGATGAGCAGCAGAGCTGAGTATGTGGGTTGCATAAAGGGGYAAAAAAAGTCAAATCTTTTCTGTCAAACTGTTTATTTGCTGTTGCTATTTGAGCTTCTGGTTCCCCCAGGTGCTGCCAATCAGGTGCCTGCTATAAGATTTATTGCCAAGAAGCATTGTTACAAGAAAGAAATAATCTACCAAACACACATTTACTTATTTTTTTGTATTTCCCCGCTTTAGAACAAATGACCTTTATAGAACAAATCCTGAAAACTACTTCTCTGTTGAGTCACAAGAGCCTCATTCTGCTTCATGAGGGACTGATAAGGTGCCCACCTGAACCAAAATCTTATTTAATGAGGAAAAGTGTAAAAACCTCTGCTTGGGTCATCATTATTCCTGTTGCAATAGGACCAGCTGGATCAAAAAGAAAAAAATTGTATAGGTCTTCTGGACGGGTTCTTCTCTAAAGAAACGTTTCATCTCTCCTCCAAGAGACTTCTTCAGTCTGAGAGTTTCAGGCAAAATTCTGAATTTTGCCTGAAAC